GGTTGAGTGAGGAGGAGGGCATGGGGCAGCGTATTCACTAGATTGACAAATTAAACATTTTTGTTTTGATGAAAGGTGTGCAGCGACATGATAAAAAATTACGAAGCCGAGCGTGGTGGCACGCTCCTGTGTCCCAGCTACTCGGGAGGCCGAGACAGGAGGATCGCTTGAGCTCAGGAGTTTGAGACCAGCCTGGGCAACATAGCGAGACCCCTACCTCTAAAAAATTAAAAACAAACAATGAACAGTACATAGGAAAAGTCAAAGTCTCCTGCTCAGCTCACTTCCCAGCAGGTCTCCTTCCGGAAATGGATATACATTTAACATCGCACACATTTCTTCAATCCTGTCTTACCCACCAGTTTTCCCCATCTGCTTGAAGGCATACAGGGAATGATCATGGTATTTGGAGAGGGCACAACCATGGGAGAAATAACTGGCATGTTAAAAACAATGCTCAAAATTCAACCATTAAAACAAAGAGAGAGAGAAGGGAAAAAATTCATCTGTGCTTTATTGCCCAGTACTGTTCTAAGCTTTGGAAACATGTTAACATTTAATCCTCACAACTAATAGGTGAGGTAGGCATTATCCCCATTTTTGCAGGTAACGAGAGACATACTGCTAAAAAGCAGAAATGGAAATGTAGGTGTGTCTGATTTCCCCCAGGTTACATTCTCTCTGCCCCCCTCCACACTGCCTCTAGTGGGGCGCTGGGGGAGAGAGAGGAAGACACGTGGAGGGCCTGGTCCTGTTCTGAGGGCTTTGCTGGACGATCCTATGAGGTGGGTACTATTACCGTCTTCACCATACAGGCAAGGAAACTGAGGCACAGAACAGTGAGGAACATGCCCAGGGTCACGTAACTAACAAGGGGTAAAGCCCGCATTCAAACCCAGGCAGTCTGCCCCAGGGGCCAAGTAGAAGTCCAGAAGAGTCCTACAGTTTTAAAACCTCAGGGGGATGGTATATCCCTAACAGAGAAAGGCAGAGAACCAAGGGCTTGGTAGGCAAGCGGGGTGGGGGTGTGATGAGGTTGACTTTGAGAAGTCTGAGGTGTTTGTGGTGGACCCGGGTGCTGGTCAGTAGGTGGTTAGACATGCAGCCTGGAGCTCGGCAGAAAGACTGAAGCTAGAACAGTATTTCCCAAACTCCTTTCACCACAGAATATTCTTTTCCATAGGTTATTTTGTAAACTCTAATATATGGCTCCTAAACTGGACGTGAACAGGAATTTGTGATATAGCTCCTTTACCAGGATTGGAGAAGACAGGGGAAAAAAAACGTCTTGGACAAATTAATTGCTGGAAGAAATGATCAAATTTTGGCTTACATGTTTTGAAACATTTTATAACCAAAAGAAGTAAACAAATATGGCAGAACTGTGGTGGCTTTGGCGTATAGCAATGGCCCTGGTGCTCATGGCTCAAGGCATTCCCACACATCCTGCCCAAGAGAAGAAGGCGTTAGAAAAAAAGGTCAGCCAGTTGATGGCTTGGACCAAGAAAAACAGAGTGATAAGAATGACTGACTCCGCGTTCAGTCACTTCGTGTTAGAAACACCAAGAAACTACTCTGTTACTGTCATGTTCACTGTTCTCCAGGAGTTTAGATCATGTGTAACATGCGAAGAAGCTGCTGAAGAATTTCACATCTTGGCACATTCCTGGCAACACCCCGGTTCATTCGCCAACAAGGTATTTTTTGTTTTGATGGATTACGATCTAAGCCCCGAAGTCTTTCACATGTTCCGAGTGACCTCAGTTCCGAATTTCTTCCACTTTTCTGCTGACAGGGAATTGACACCAGATGACATTTATCATTTGAATGGAAGGGGTTTCACGGCTGAGGAAATAGGCGAATGGGTAGCAGAGAGAATGAGCGTCCGCAGCAGAATCCGACAGCCTGCAATTTATCATGGTCCCTTCACGCTGGGGATACTTTTGACTATCACTGGCGGACTTGTGTATTTATTGGAAAGGAGTAGGACATTTGTTTTTTGCAGAATTTTATGGGGATTTTTAACTGTGTGTTTTGCGATTGTGATGACAGCTGGTCACATGTGGATTCATATAAAGCGAGAACCGTATGTTCGAAGGAATCCTAAGACTGGACATATACGTTATATCAGTCAATTGAGTTACTCTCAGCATACACCAGAAACATGCATCGTTGCGTTGTGTAACATGTGTGTTACCCTGGGAGTGATGCTGTTAGACAAAGCTGCCACATCTAGGATGAAGGTCGGAAAGAGGAAAACGATGTGTGTGACTGGTATGTGTCTAGCTGCACTGTTCTTCAGCGGGCTGCTTTCTCTCTTCAGATTTAAAGTATCCACGTATCCATACAGATTTCTCATAGATTAAAAAGGATCCTACAGACACAGACAAGGAAGCAAGAAATTTGAAAAGATGTGAAAAGAATGTGAAGCATAAAAATGTGAACTCACAACTTTTTAAAGTGAGATTTAACCAAAAAAGACATGAAATGCCTTACAATAATAAACCATTTACTCTCAAAAGCTGTGAAGCATTATAGTATCTTTGTTCTTAGTTTTTCTCTTCTGAGTAAATTTTGTTTGTTTGAGACAGAGTGTCAGTCGCCTGGGCTAGAGTGCCGTGGTGTCAGCCTAGCTCACAGCAACCTCAAACTCGTGGGCTCAAGTGACCCTCCTGTCTCAGCCTCTTGAGTAGCTGGAACTACAGGCGTGTGCCACCATGCCCGGCTAATTTTTTCTAATTTTAGGAGAGAGAGAGTCTTGCTCTTGCTCAGGCTGGTCTCAAATTCCTGACCTCAAGTGATCCTCCCACCTTGGCCTCCCAGAGTGTTGGGATTACAGGCATCAGCCACTGTGCCCACCCCACCCCCATAAATGTTATAGATTACCTAATTTAGTAAAGTCCAATTATTAAAATTGTTAGACAATACAACTTTTATTGAATTAGAACAAGGTTTAAAAGTACTTTGGGGCTGGGTGTGGTGGCTCGAGCCAGTAATCCCAGCACTTTGGGAGGCAGAGGTGGGAGGACCCTCAAGACCAGGAGTTTGAGACTGGCCTGAGCAACAAAGTGAGATGTGGTCTCTACAAAAAATTAGCCGGGTGTGGCGGTGCGCACCTGTAGCCCCAGCTACTGGGGAGGCTGAGACAGGAGGATCACTAGAGCTCAGGAGTTTGAGGTTGCAGTGAACTATGATTGGGCCACAGTACTCCAGCCTGGGTGACAGAGTGAGATTTAAAAAAAAAAAAAAAGAGTTGTTTGCAAACAGTTTAATTGCTCTAGAGTACATTGTTCTTCTTTTTTTTTAAACAGGGGTAGATGGGAATAGTTGATCTCTCTCACTTTAATTTAGACAATTTTTTGGTTCATTACTCCACAGGAAACTGTTCAACTCTGACCTTTTTTCCGGCTTACTTTTCTGCTAGTCTGGTACTTATTTCAGGCCAATTAAATTCATGTCGAGATCCCCAAGGTTGAGATTTGGGCGAGGCTAACTAATTTTACACAGCGTGCTAGTCAGAGAAATCACTGCCTGCTTCAGGTGCACAGCTGCGGATGATTTGCTCTGGAGGTTGAAACCATTGACTTTTTTTCCCCACCTTCATTTGCCCTTCTGATCTTCAAAACCCACTCTTCTTCCATGAGAAAGAAAAGTCTCTGGGTTAAAATGAAAGGAAAATAGCTTTGCTGCATTCAAAGTAAAGTGTTAAACTTTTGTGCAAATTTTCAAATTAATATCTAAAGAGCTTTAAGTAGGCAATAGTTTTTTCATTACTGGTTTAAATAGCACCTATGAATATATTTGTAAAAATACTATTCAAAGGGATACCATAGATGGCAAACTTTTATAATCTAAAATCTTTATGAAAGCACAAAAATAAATTAGAAAAATTAAGCTCACAAAACATCTAAAGACGGTTAAATAATCTTAATTTTACATTTGTATAAAATACAAGTGAAAACCATCAGATGGTGCTGGGTGAAATCATTTGGTGCAACATAAACTATTCCTATGTTCTGTTTTTATTTTTGTTT